ATCTTGGAACTGGAGTTACAGACAGTTGTCAGCTTCCATGTAGGTGCTAGAAATTGAACCCAAGTTCTTTGCAAGAGCAAGAAGTGCTCTTAACCATTGAGCCAGCTCTCCAGGCACATAAAAGCTACTCTTAAAAGTCAAATCTAAAACAGGCGACAGTGGCATATGTCCCAACAGTGAGGAGGCAGAGGCAGGCAGATCTGTGTGAGTTTGAGGCCAGCCTCATTTATGGAATGAGTTTCAGGACAGCTGGATATACACAGAGAAATTCTGTCTTGAAGAAGACCAAGAAAAAAAAGTCAAATCTAAGCCATGCATAGTGATGGTGCACTCCTTTAATCTTAGCACTTGGGAGGCAGAAGCAAGTGGATCTCTATTCATCCAAGGCTAGGCTAGTCTATATAGTGAGAAAACAAAACCCAAAATTGTTTACCTTGCATTTCTGAGTATAAGTGATAAAGACACAGAAACTCATATTATGGCTTCTGTGATACCATTGGAACCTGATTTACTTGTGGAGCTTGTGTGGAATTGAGTGATCCTCAGCACCACAGATGAAAGAGTGGGGCAGGTAAATTTAGAAAAATAAGATGCTAATCATTTACTGCTTTGTTACTTCATCACAGTGGCTGCCCTTTAAACTGCTAGCCAGGCTACTAAGCCTGGGGGTAATTCTGTCCCTGCAGGCAATGACTGTCTTGCTGTGGCTAAAGGTAGCTTTAATTAAATCTCTATCATTCTAATAAAACTCAAAAGTCTAGGGTGGAAACCAACAAGCTCAGAGAGTTAGAGTAGCTACTTTCTCTCTTAGCTGACATCCCAGGAAACCTATCTCCTTCTACACTGCCCCAACTTAAAGACCCACACTGTGCTCTTCCCTGGTACTTTCTGCCAACTAATTGCTAACCTCACCTCTCTGGCCCAGGTTAATTTTACTTGATTAGCACAAATACAATACATCTTTACATAGTTAAACAAATGAAGCATAATCAAATGTAACATATCTTTGCCTAGTTAAACAAATATTCCACAACATTTTCCCCTTTTGTCTAAATAAAGGAAAGGTTTTAACTTTAACATAATAAAACTACATACAATAAGGACAGTTATCTAGTAAGAATTACATTTACAATATGCAGTCCCTTTGCATTTGGCAAATTTGGAGAAATCACTCTATTATCTATTCTATCTCAATGAATCTAAAGCTCAGTACCTAATTTACCTTCTTTCATTAAGTTTTCATAAGGAAAACTATAACTGTCTACTCTTCAACTCCATCAGAGATCCCAAAAGGATATATTATCTGAGTTAACAGAAAGTACAGTGCAAGCTGTAGATGGAAGTTTCTGTCCTGCCCTGTTCCACAGCCATTCAGTCCCAAAGAAACATAAGCTTATATTAATTAAAAACTGTTTGTCCTATTGGCTCAGACTTATTATTAACTAACTCTTACAACTTAAATTAACCCATAATTCTATATTAGCCACATGGCTTGGTACCTTTTATCAATGAGACATTCTTATCTTGCTTCCTCTGCATCTGACTGGTGACTGCAGACTGAGCCTTTCTTCTTCCCAGAATTCTCCTAGTCTGGTTTTCTTGCCTGGCTACTGACCAATCAGTGTTTTAGTAAACTAATAGAAATGACAAATCTTTACAAGGTACATGACATTATCCCACAGCAGCAAGCAGCTTCCAAAACTATAGAAATAACAGAGACACCTGTCCACCTGGACCATCACCCAAGGTTCCTCTTAAACATCCATATTCAGCCTATGAATATCTGGCAGACTTTTCTGTGAAGCAGGAATTTTGAAGGACTGTCCGCTTTGTCTTGGTAAAGTTCAGCAGTAGTTTTCCTTTGTGTCCTGCATGTCTGGTTTGGATGGTGTATTGTCAGCAATAGAGGCAAGGGCAGTTTCTTTCCCAAATGGCTAGTTTTACCACACTGAAAGCAAACTCAGAAGTTCTTTTATGAAATAGATTGGTGCTGCCAGTAGCAGATATGTCTCACTTCATAAAAATCCCCATGTTAACAAATCATTTTAAATGCCATATTCTGTAGGTCTTTGAAGTGTTTGAAGACCATTACATCTAAAATATATCTCTGTATGATCTTAAAACATATTTAACATAGCTACAAGTTTGATTGTTATAGATGACTAACTACTAAACTACATTTAATTTACATTACATTTTTTAATGAGCTGCATAAGCACAGTACCCACATATAAGAGTAGAAACATACATACAGTATAACAAAAATAACTTTAAATTTGTAGCACTGTACCAAAATCCATACCAATGTAAAATTGGTAAGGTTAATAGTTTTCTTTTTATCCTATAGTCCTCCCCCCCCCAAATGATGACAAACATCCATAACCCACCAAATGACCAAAAATCACCCACCCCATCTCTTGGGAATCTGGGTGTTGTGTTTTATAGATTTCTTCCTGTAGTCTGAGGGCAACAGAATTTTAGGGAACCCTGATAAAATTTAAATAATGGTCAAGTCCTGGGAAAACTAGTTGTAACATTGTTGTCAGTCTCATAACTGTTCCCATGCAGAGGGGTCAGTATATACATCACCTGTCATGTGGTTTTCCTGGTTTATCTCTTTATGTCTGTAGCCAGGGTTTCCAGGAGGTCTCCCCTGATCAAATATGATCTCTATTAACCGTGAAGGAGCCTACAGCTTTTTGTTTCCTGTGAAAACAAAAAGCATAACCTCTTCCCCCAACACAATATATTTTTTGAATTCCATTTTAAAGTTAAGACATCCCTAAAGTAGGCTGGTTTAATTCAGCAAACTCTTTTATAATCCCATGTCTCGCAGCAGCTGTCATTCACTCATCAACATTCAAAAAATGCAGAGTTAACACAACACCATACAGGATCCAGACTCCCTGTGCATTTTCCATCTTTTCATGTTTTTTTTTCCTTTATATTATTTTACTTCTCTTTAAAGACTTTATTTTTAAACTATTTACTTTTTCTATGACTATCTGTACCTATTTTCTTTTCTTTCTTAAACCCATGTACATTTTTAAACATAGTATGAGCTCTTTAGAGGTTTTTGCCATCTGGACCTATCTTTACTACATGTCTCTAACCTTTTTCAACTGTGTGAGCCAAACCTTAAACTGCTAAGTGGCTTTGTGTTGGATGCTGGCTGTGTCCTGCTCAGGCCGTGAGAGCCAAGCTTTATCCCCCACGGGCTTGGTTGAAGATTGTGTACAGCTGGCAACTGAGTCAAACTGGGAGCTGTATTCACCCACTCCAGCTCTAGGAAGCTAGTACCCAACACTGTGTCTGGCACTTTTACTTAGCTTATTGTTTTTACTTAACATGCCAGGTGCTCACTGTATGGCAGAGCCTCTTCAGGAGGTGTATCCATTTTTTGTTGTTATTTGTTTAGTTTTTTTTTTAGATTTTTCAGGCCCTCTGTGGAAATTTGGGCCCCATCTTGGGTACCAAACGTAGCAGGCTTTTTTGGGGGGCCACCAACAAGCTCCCAAATCATGACACAGAAACTTATTATTAGTTACAAATGTTCAATCTTATCTTATGTTTGTCCCACTAGCTCTTATAACTTATTTAACCCATTTCTCTCCATCTACATTTTGCCATGGACTTTTTACCTTTCTTTTATTCTGTATGTCTTTCTCCATGTCTGGCTAGCTTGCAGCTGCCTCTCTTTCTCCCTCGTTCTCTTTTCTTGTTCTCTTCTCTTTTCTCTCTCCTACTTATTATCTCTGCCACCAGCCCCTCCTATCCCTATACTGCCTTGCCATTCACGTTTTTATTATACCAGCCAGGTGTCTTAGGCAGGCAAGATAAAACAACAACACATCTTTATATAATTAAACAAATGCAGCATAGGCAAAAGTAATACATCTTTGCCTAGTTAAATATTCCACAATTGACTTTATCTTTTTTAAATTTTTATTTAATTTGTTACTATATATTTTGTGTGTTTCTGATGTGTGTGTTGGAGGGACAAGGGCTACTGGATCACAGTTCTCCACCACAGTTTGATTTTACCTGCTGAACCAAGCATCTTGATGGTCCAGCTTCCCAATTGTTACCCTGCTTACCATCTTCAGTGAAACAGTTAGCATCTTCTTAGTAATTGTTTCATTTGAACATACACTGAACACATCTAGTCTGAAATCTAAAACTAATGCTTAAAAAGTTTCAGATTTGCCAGGCAGGTGATAGTGATGCAAGCCTATAATTTCAGCATTGGGAGGCTTGAGGTCGAATCGTGAGCTCAAGGGTACTCCAAGCTTTTGAGATCCTGTCTCTGATGAAATTAAATTATATGGATCTCAAAATATCAGAATAGGAATGTTCAGTTACTGAAAAAATCTAGCCAAATATCCCAAAAGACCCTGAAATCTCAAGCTTATTAGTCCCAAGCATTTATTTTATTTTGTTTTATTTTATTTTATTTGAGGTAGGGTCTCTTGGGTGCTGGAATTAAAAGTGTGTGCCACCACTTCCTGGCAGTCCCAAACATTTTAGATAAAGGATCTCAGCTGTACCATTATCTTCCCAATAAAGCCCTGGTCCGTGAACCTGGTGACGTCAGACCAGTAGGAGGTGTTAGTGTGTGGTAATAAGGTTACAGTTTCCATACTTAATCAGCTCTGAGATACACGATAGATGGCACCTGCCCTCAATACAACAGTGCTATAAAAAGCATTATGCCAAAGTTTAATTTGCAGTGTTTTTCTTCTACATAAAATAATGTTGCCTCTTTTGGTTCTTAGTATTGAAATACATTAGAAATTTTCTTGTATTCTTGGTACTAAAACCTGTTTATTTATAGTAAAGTTACTAAGTTAGAAATTATAACCTATTGGTTTCAGGTTTGTAGCCTGTAGCTGAGATTATTTTGTTCAAAACAAAACAAAACAAAAAAAAAAAAAACAACAGAAGCTGAATCAGTGGAGCCGTTTTGTAGCCCGTGTAACCACTGCTGTTTTCTGCCACAGATTGCCTTCTCCCAGCACAGCAATTTTATGGACCTGGTACAGTTCTTCGTGACTTTCTTCAGGTAATTCCTCTCATACTGACTGCTGTTTTTCCTTTGAAACAGCCCCTTAATTCCAGCTTAGTTTGTACTTGCACAGCTGCATGTACTCACAATAATGTAACTTTAATCTGACCTGTTTAAACATTACAACATAACTCTTAAATGAATGGAAGGGAATTTTGTGTGGCGCGCGCGCGCGCGTGTGTGTGTGTGTGTGTGTGTGTGTGTGTGTGTGTGTAATTTGGCTCTCTGTGTGAGGAAAAGCTTGGACTGAAATAGTTTTAGCAATGGTCACTGCTGTGTGAGCTACATATGTGCTCCGTCTTATTTGAGAGATGATTCTGGTGAGCATCCATAGTGAAAGTAAGGTAAATCTTATTTCTAAACCCCTGTTATTATAGTTTTCTGGGTAATAGTTTATTTTTCTGAGAATGATAAGTTATTGCAGTGCTCATAAGAGAAGCAGCAAGAGCTGACCTTACTTTCCTATATCCTCCCCCAAAACAGAAATTGCTTTAGTGATTTACTTTTTTACATTTAACACTAAATCTTGATTTTTCAACTCAGTTACTTTTTTTACTTTGAGGGTCTTTTTATAGTATTCCTGATTTCTTGAAACTCTATGTAGAAGAGGCTGGCCTTGAAATCACAGAGTTCCTTCTGTCTCTGTCTCCCAAGTACTGGGATTAAGGTGTGTGCCACCAGCCAACTCGGTTATTTTTTTGGTATTCTCAACACTACCATACTCCATCACACACACAAACACACACACATACACACACACACACACACACACAACAGGTACACACAAAACTCCCTTCCATTTATTTAATAGTTATAATCACAGTGCTTTGATCAACCATAAAATCATGAATTGACTTATGATTCTACTTGCTAGTTTTTTAGATGAAAAAGGTCACCTTTTGTTTATCCTACGTGTAACACTTTATTTACTATTGTTTTTCCCCCTATGAGTCTACTCGAGTTATACCTGTGTTCTGACAAAACAAAGATCTTTCACGATGGTTGTCTCTTGCTTTTAGTCTCTCTTAGGGCACCCCACCCTAGAATGTTCCAGCCTTCTGTCCTTAAATGTACTAGTCTCTAAGGCCTGCTGTGTAATTGTCACTGTCTGAGTTACGTTTCTATTGCCATGACAAAGCACTATGATAAGGCAACTTGAAAAGTTTAATCGGGAGATCACAGTTCCAGAAGGTTAGAATCCATGACCATCATGACAGAGAGCATAGCAAAGGCAGACCAGGCATAGCATTGGAGCAGTAGCTAGAACTTAACTCTGATCCACAAGCATAAGGTAGAGAGAGAGCTAACTGGGAATGACATGGGCTTTTGAAACCTCAAAGCCCACCCCTAATAACACACCTCCTTCAACAAGGCCACACCTCCTTATCTTTCCCAAGCAGTTGCATCAACTAGGGACCAAACATTGCCTCTGGAATCATAGGAGCTTTCCCCATTCAATACATGGTTTACAGAGGAAAGAAAGCTGAAACTCTTTATAATCATTAGGCAATTAGTTTTTCCTCCTAATATTAAGAAAGTTGTTGGCTTAAATTTGATAATTTCAAGTTTATTTTATTGGTAAATGCATATATTGCTGGGCATGGTGGCATATCCTAGCATTCAAGAATCTGAGATGAGAGATCACAAATTTCAAGCTAGCTGAGCTACATAGCAAGACACAATCTTTGAAAAGAAAAATAATTAATAACACACATACCCACACTCACAACAGAGTTATTATTACTTTCAGTAATGCAACCAAGTCCTTGATAAGAAGCTGCTTAAGGTAGGAAGTGCTTGGGCTCAGAGTAGTCTAGGGGATCTAGCCCCTCCTAGCCCAGGAGTCATGAGCACAGGCTCATGGGGTGGCTGTCACACTGCATCCTCAGTCAGCAAGCAGGAAAGATGAATGTTGCTATTCGGCTCACTTTCTTCTTTTTATTCAGTCTGGGCCCCCAGCCCATAGAATGGTGCTGCCCACATTTAGGGTGTATTATCGATACTCAATTAGCTCAGTATAGAAACTCTCTCATAGACATACCAGAGGTTTGTCTCCTGTGTGACTCTAGATCCTGTCAAGTTGACAATCAGGGTTTATCACCACATATGTATGTATAATTACAGAAAATATATTAATTATTGTACATAGATTTCTTTGGCCTACCTCTTATTAAAAGTTGATTATTAATTGAAATTTATTTTTCTCATTCTGTTTGAGCTTACCAATGAAGTTTACCACATTGATTAATTTACTTGCTTAAATTAAATTATTATCTGTTATCATGTATAGCATTCTAACAAAATTGCTTTTCTCATTTTCTTACTTATGGTAAGCCATTGTTGACCCTTCTGGGAAGCTTAGTGAGAAGTCAGGGCTTGGTAACATCTTCCAGAAGTCAGGATTGGAAGCTTGGGTCAGCTAGCCAGGGTTTCTCACGTTCCATTTCCTGTGAGCCAGTTCGTCACATACAGCATCAGGAGCTCGGGAGTTGGGGTGTTGAGGGTGTCTCCCCGTGTGCTCTTTCCCTGCAGCTGTTTCCTCTCTCTGCTTCTGGTGGCTGCAGTGGTCTGGAAGATCAAGCAGAGCTGTTGGGCATCCAGGCGGAGAGAGGTAAGCCCATGCAGACAAAAGTAATAGATCCCCTTGAAAACTCATTTCCTCTCCTTCTTTTCAGGCATCACTTTTACCTGTTCTGTGAAACTAATATTCATGAAAATCATGCTGCTTCGTCTGCATTGTATGCTATTGTATGATTCTACTGTATGCTATATCACTAGATTTCAATTATTGTTCCATAAATATCATTAATTCTGCCACAGCCACAACCACTTACTGAGTTAGCAATCTTCTAAGAGTCATTCATAAGAATTTGAGTGAAGGGACAGGTTTGCCTCAGTGATGGAGCCCTTGCCTAGCATGAACTGAGGCCCTTGGTTCTGGTCTCAGCACCCTCTAATAGCACAAAGGTAGGGACAAAGCTTTTAACTTGGGGGCAGGAGGAGGATCCAAAACCAAACTATAGCTATAGCCAGTATCATTGATTATGATGAAGTACTAGAGTTGGTGCCAACAGACACATTATTTAGATAGCCGAGCTCCTCTAAATCCCAGACCCCTCCCTAAATCCAGAGCCCTGCTTGTTCTAGTCTCTGATTCCAGATTTATTTGTGTTTTCATCTTATATCTCTCTTAAGGGAGAGTAGTCTCGTGTCCTATTAGCCATGTGGGGGGCACATCTTTCTTTATTGTCATTGCTTTGGGAATATTGGTTCAGGATTTGACATAAAGCAGGGTAGACTGACTTTAATAACAGAAATATGAAGAGGTAAGTTTCTGTCCTTTTGTATATTCAGCCAGCAGATACCATAGCATTACATCCACCACAATTTTAGCTTATGTCTCTTACTGGTAAAGACTTTTCATAAAATACAATAGTGTCACTCCATCTAACAGAATTTAATACTTTGTACTGTCTAGTGCCTAGTTGTGTTCAGTTTTCTGTAGCTGTCACAGAAACTGATCAGTTTGAACTGGGGAGAATGCAGCGTCTTTAATATCTAGTATTCACTAATAAAAACTCAGTACTCAGCATATTAATACATACTATAATATTCATTAGCAACTTCTTCGGGAGATGCAGCAGATGGCCAGCCGCCCCTTTGCTTCTGTAAATGTTGCCTTGGAAACAGATGAAGAGCCTCCTGATCTTATTGGGGGAAGTATAAAGGTGAGAAGTGGTTCAAAAGTTCATGTAACAGCTTTCCAAAACTCAGGTCTGAGTCTGGCGAACCAGAGGAAGCAAGTGTTGTATTCATTAGTCCTGATTTCCTTCTCTCTGCCGCTCAGCTGAAACACCAAGATTGTGAGACACTCTTGCTCTCAATTCCCAGTTGCTGGTTCGTGTCATCAGTCAGTCATGGTCAGGAGAGCTTAACGTGTAAACCATGGTTGTTATTCTCTCAATGTTTGTGCCAAATACTTACAAGTTTTTATATGAAAATATCTAAACTGGACTAGGTGTAGTGGCATGTATATTTAATCCCAGCACTTAGGAGGCAGAGGCAGGCAAATCTCTGTGAGCTTCAGGCCAGCCTGGTCTGTATATTGAGTTTCAGAACAACCATGGCTACAGAGTAAGAGAGAGCCTGTCTTAAAGGAGTGGTGGGGACAGCTCAATTTACTATTAATTACTCCCCTCCCACACACAGAGAGACTTTGGATTTGGTTTTGTTGTTGTTGTTTGGTTTGGGGGTGTTTGTTTGTTTGTTTGTTTGTTTTTCAAGACAGGGTCTCTCTATGTAGCTTTGGCTGTCCTAGAACTCACTATGTAGACTATGCTGGCCTTGAATTCAGAGACCCATCTGCCTTCTGAGTGTAGAAATTAAAGGTATGTGCTCTACACTCAGCAAATCCCAGAGTTAAAAAAACAAAACAAAACAAAACAACAAAAACACTTATAGGGCTGAAGAAATGGCTCAGTGGATAAATATGAGAAATGGAGTTTAGAGCCCCAGAACTCAAGTAAAAACGAGGCAGATAAGGTGACAGTACTCAGGAGGCAGAGATAGGATTCCCAGGGCAAACTGGCTGGTTAGACTAGTTGGAATTGGCTTCAGGTTCAGCAAGATATCCTCCTTAGTAAGTAAAGCAAAGAACTGAGGAAGACCTCCTTGTGCATGCGTACCTGCACATGCACTTGTAAACGCATATATATGCACGCACGCACACACACCATACATCATGTTTAGAAGTTGGAATCTTTGTGCACTGTTGGTAGACTACAAAATTATGCAGCCACTAGAAAACGGTAGACTGGGCATGGTGGTGCATGCCTATAATTCCAGGCCTTAGAATGCAGGTGCAGGAGAATCACCAAACAGTATTTGTCTCAAGAGAACAAAAGCAATACAAAATGTAATACAGGGGATTCTTTGTATGTCAGTGTTCATGACAGCACATCATAATTGCCGGAAAGGAGACTCAGCCAAGTGCCTGCCAGTGGCGAGTAGATAAGCAGAGTAGTGTTTGCTAAGTCGGAAATGATTTATACTTTAAAAGAAGAGGGGTCTAGTATACACTGAGACAAAATAAAATAGTAACTGCCAAAAGCTTGGAAGAGGAGATGAAGGAGCTGTTGTTTAATGAGTAGTATAGAATTTCAGTTTTTCAGTTTGCAACATTAAAAAAACAGTCTGAAGATGGAGAAAGTAGCTAAAACATACTTCCATTTTCCTTTATTTTATGAAGGGTTGATCATGCAGCATGCATAAAGCCGAGAGAGAGAGAGAGAGAGAGAGAGAGAGAGAGAGAGAGAGAGAGAGAGAGACTCATTTGTAATAACAAAGCTGTCTCTCAAGCCTGTAAAATTCTTTTAAAAAAATGAATAAAGTCTGCAACAGAAAATGAATAAATTTTCCAGAGTCAAAGCATCCAATAAGCAGATGAGGAATCCATTTGGTGAGCTGTCTATCTTTTACAAGCTCTTAAACCCAACAGGCTATGACTTAGTGGATGAAAGATGCATGGATAAGCTTGAATATAAAACAAACAACTGTCTTCTTAACATCAGGGTCTCTGTGCCAAGTGTACAGGACTGTCTGACAGATCACCAGACACACACTGCCAACCCAGCGACCTAGAGAGAACCTGTTGACATGGGCCCTTCCTTGGCACTCATGTGGCTCTTCAGAAAAGTGCTATGGAAACAACTCATAGCCAAAATTGTTGACCTTATAAGCGCCTGACTCTGAAGTGTGGGTTTTCTTCTTCCAGACTGTTCCCAAGCCCATTGCCCTGGAGCCCTGCTTTGGTAACAAAGCTGCAGTTCTCTCCGTATTTGTGAGGCTCCCTCGAGGACTGGGTGGAATCCCTCCTCCTGGTCAGTCAGGTGAGTAGATGGAGCAGTGGCAAACACAGATCTGTGGAGAGCTACACCGCAGACATTTCTTCCTGGCCAAGAACATGGGTATGGGGCACAGAGCTTTCGTGAGATAATTCCGTACTCCATAAACTGCATTCTGAGCACTGACATTTCTGTCTTGGGGTGGAAGGTCCAGGACCCTTCTCACAGTGCACAGCTTCCTCAGCCACACACACCTCCTCAGCCACACATCCAGTATTTCTTATTCCTTGGCTCTATTGCTCCCTTTAAAAAAAACAAAACAAAACTTGTTCTTACCTTAAATTTCGACTTTCTCCTTCTTCATATGCTACTAATCATCTCCATGCTCCTGGCATCCAGCCGTGTCCTCAAAGTTTGTGTTGCCCCAGTAAATATTTCTAGCCATGTTCTTCATCTTGTTTAAGGTCTTGTTATGCAGCTCAAGCTGAACTAGAACTCATTACATAACCCAGAATGCCCTCAAATTCATAGTCATCCTCCTGTTTCAGTTTCCAGAGTACTACTCACCATGCCCAGCTTTTACTCTATATTAGATATGGGGCATAGGGGCTGGAGAGATGGCTCAGTGGTTAAGAGCATTGCCTGCTCTTCCAAAGGTCCTGAGTTCAATTCCCGGCAACCACATGGTGGCTCACAACCATCTGTAATGAGGTCTGGTGCCCTCTTCTGGCCTGCAAGCATACACACAGAAAGAATATTGTATACATAGATATGGGGCATAAAGAAGTATTATAACAACATAAAGAAGATTTTTGAAAATTATAGTTTCATTAGGCTAATACAGACCAATTTTCATTCTTTTTCCCAGCCCTCTCTAGCAATTTAATTTAAATAATTATATAGGCTTTGGGAGTGGGAGAACCCTGAACAGTTTTTAAGCACAGTTTGTAGCCAAGGATGACTTTGAACTTCTGATCGTCCTGCTTCCACCTCCCCAGGGCTGAGATGTACCACCACTCCCGGTTTATGAGGCACCGAGGATCAATGCTAAGGCCTCATGCATTGCCAGGCAAACCCTCTCTAACCAAGCTACACCCATAGCTAGATAGGCATTTTTATTACAAACAATTATTCCTCAGCATTTTCTCCCTAAAATAGCATCTCTACAGGAAACAGGCACCAGTGGTGATTTGGGCAGGAACAGGGAGGAGAAATTACTTTCACTGCATACTATCTTATACTTTGAGATTTTTCTTCCTTTTTGCTGAGGCTCAAATCTAAATCTGTCTTTATTCTTTCTTCATTACAATCATTTACATTTTTACAGTTTACTACATATTTTACCAATGTCTTTTATACTTTCCATCAAACATATAAGCCATTAATTTATATAAACCTTGGGGCTGGAGAGATGGCTCAGTGGTTAAGAGAACCGGCTGCTCTTCCAAAGATCCTGAGTAGAGTTCCCATCAACCACATGGTGGCTCACAACCATCTGTAATGAGATCTGGCGCCCTCCTCTGGCGTGCGGGCATACATGGAGGCAGAACATGTATACATAATAAATAAATAAATCTTTTAAAAAATTTATATAAACCTTGTCTTCAAGCTGGAGGCAGAGATAGGAAGATTGCTACATAGTGAGGTCCAGACCAGCCAGGGTTACACAGTGGAACCCTGTCCCAGAAGGAAAGTTCTTACTTTTAACACAAAGGCAAAGGCAGTATGGAATGCAGTTTCGGAGTATCTTGATTATGAAGTTTTGCCTAGAAATGCCTCAAACAATGTGAACATTTTAGATCAGTTCAGTTGCAGTGGTGCTGGGGGCTCAGGATTGCCTCAGCCAGAACAGTTTAGTAGAGAAGAATTCTTTTATCCTTGTCCAGCCCTGAACTTCATGTCCCCTTCATCAGCTGTCCAGAAGGGCCTCCACTTACCTGGCCGACTAGAAGGACTCTATGGTGTCCTCAGAATGAAAGCCTTAGGTGTGATGAGGTCAGGACTCAGTCTTCATCTTCCCTTGGCATCCCCAGACACTGAGCCCCTAAGTGAGGACCAAGTCACTCTATGATCTGGCTATCTGGGCAGTGTTTCCTGCTACCACCCAGCTCAGCAAACACTGGCAGGTGCTTCATAAAGGCTAGGTCTCCAGTGGGCATAGAGGCGTAACAGGTCTGTAGCCTTTCCTATCTCATCCTTTACGTAATGCTCCCACCCTCTGAAACTCCTCAAGGCCCCACTCAGTTCTTGAGGCCCACCCCATCAGGGGAGGGCTATCCATACCAAGCCTCCCATACTTTTTCTTTATGAGGTAGTACGAGTTAGCCCCAGACTTAATCCTCTTGCCTCAATATCTCCAGGGCTGGGGATTGTGGACACATGTCATTATGCCAAACTCCTATGCCCGTTCCTTTTAAAAATCTTTTCTGGGATCAAATCCAGGGCCTGAGCAAGTGCTCTACCACTACCCGCCTCTTCTTTGTAATGGTCCCTTTCCTGGATATGCCTTTGCCTGAACGACAGTCGTCACTAGTGTGGGCACCTCTCTGTGTATCAGACGCTGGCCCTGGCCCCTTCCTCCTCCTCCCTTTACAGACAAATAGAGTAGATTACCAAACTTACTCCTATGCTTATTAAAGCAGCCTTGGCAAAATGCTGAGTATGGGCTGGCCACTTCCTCCAGTGTTAGAATTCCAGCTTCTCTACTGTCTTAATCAAGGTTTCTATTGCTGTGAAAGACACCATGACCATGGCAGCTCTTAAAAAGGAAAACATTTAATTGGGGTGGCTCCCTTTCAGTTCAGACGTTCAGTCCATTATTATCATGGTGGGACATGGTGGCGTGCGGGAAGACAGGGTGCTTGCTGGAGAAGTAGCTGAGAGTCCTATATCTTGCAGGCAACCGGATATGGTCTGAGGCACTGGATGGTATGTTGAGCATATATGAGCCATCAAAGCCCACCTCCACAGTGACACACTTCCTCCAACAAGACCACACATACTCCAGCAAGGTCACGCTTCAGAATAGTGCCACTCCCTTTGGGGGACATTTTCTTTCACACCACCACACCTGGAATGGTGACTTCCCTGACAAATGCCAGGTTTATTATACAATGCAAAAAAGGACAAGTCAGTCACTGGGAGTGTCTGTGAGAATAAATGGTAAAGGTTCTGATAATTTCTGTGTGCTCTGAACATTACCTCAGTCACTCTTTGACTCCAACACAAGCTTTGTGATGTTCTTATCCCAGCCCCATTTTACACATAAGGAAACTGCCCTACAGGAGGTTAAAGAACCGTGCTCATTCTAAAACTTAGCCCACGACACTGTTGAGCACTGCCCATGGTAGATATAAGAAAGTCATGTGGAATGGTGCGGGGCTCAGCCCATAAAGGCACTCACCTCACTTCCCAAGCCTGAGCTAGAGCCCCAGAATTCTCAAGGTGGAAGGGAAGAGTTAACTTGTAAAGGCTGCCCTCTGGTTCACATGTGCAGCATTGTTTACACACACACAAATAAATAAATAAATAAAATTTTAGTAGCTTGTGCTGAGCCAGTGATAGCCAATGAGGTGCACATTCAGAGTATGGCTGCATTCTCATCCCTTGCTTCTACCCCGAGGCAGAGCCTCTGTGATGTGCTGTGGAGGAGAGAAAAGTGAGTAGCTAGGCGTGCACAAATAAACTGCAAGGGCATGGAGCTGACACCATCCCCCAGATGGAAAAGGAGAGGTGAGATGGAAGGACTACTGTGAATACCTCCTTTATCTTTCACCATGGAGGTGTAAAAGGAAATTGGAAATTATCTTTTTTAAAGTAAGCCCATCATGACATGTGTCCCTTCTTATGGGTTCTTCCAAGGTCTTGCTGTGGCCAGTGCTCTGGTGGACATTTCTCAACAGATGCCAATAGTGTACAAAGAGAAGTCAGGAGCTGTAAGAAACCGGAAGCAGCAGCCCCCTGCACAGCCTGGAACCTGCATCTGATACTGCGCCAGGGACTCTCCCTCACAGAGGGCACATGGTACACCAAGCTGTCGCAGGGGAGGGTGCAGGCAGGAAGCAGGTGCAGAACAGAAGACTGGAAACCCTTGAAGCATCCACCTCATGTGCATGATCATCCAAGCTGTTTTGATGGTTCATCCCTTCTGTGTCCAGCATCTAACCTTTTACTTTTGCATAGGAAATAATTTAATTACAAGTCTAAGAATAAGCTGCTCTTCTCGTGGGTGGAGAAGACCAGCGTAGAACCAGCAAGAGCTGAAAGTGATGCTGAGGTCCCTTGTGGAAACTCCTCTTGGGAGTCTCAACTGCAAAAGTGATGACCTTGCCAGCAGCTCTCCAGCAGGGTCTTCCGACACTCCTCAGACGGATTGTTCTGATTTGAAGCTTGTTGTCTTTTTACAAGATGTGCTTTTACTCTCTTCCAGAAAGTAGCTTTTTTTCTAGCTGAGAACTAATAACGGTCTGTCTCTTTGAAAGTCATATCAAAGTATAATCAATGGGGCCTTGTTTTGTTTTTTTGGAGACAGGGTCTCACTGTGTAGCCCTAACTGGCCTGGAACTCACTATGCAGATCAGGCTGAACTGAACTCACAGGGATCTTTCTGCCTCTGCCTCACAAATGCTGGGATAAAAAGTGTGCACCACCAGGTCCAGCAAAGGGGGCTATTTTAAATGTCAAGGTCAATTGTGTTAGAATATAAACAAATGTAATAGATAATTCTCTATAGCAACTTGATTAATTTTAATTCATTCTTCTCTTTATCTCACGCTGTCATACACACACACACACACACACACACACACACACACACACACACACTAAGTGCCTAGACTTTAAATAGATCTAGCAACTGGAAAGTTAATAAGCCTAAGCTTTTACATGACTCTGTTTCTCCATTCTTGTAGAATTTAAGTAACTACCATTGCAATCTGTTCTTTTTCTAAAGTCTAGTTTGCAGCCAGCAGAGACTTCTCATCCCAAGAAACATTTAATAGGGACTAGCAATAGGGACTGAGTGACCACCAGCCCCAGCCTAGTATCACTCTAAGCCTGATGCTGGGCCAACCTTCTGGGTTCCTTCTGCCAAGGCACCACAGAAAAGTACTCACTCATGTCATGTGCCTCTTTGAGCCGATAAGAGCACTAAGTGTGTGGGACACTTGGCCCTGTCTTCCTGCAGCCCGCTCTCTCTGTGCCTGTGGACCATCCCCAGGTTGGATGGCACAGACACTAGAAGAGGGATGATGCCTTGCATTGGGGCAGCATCTGCTCAGAGCCAGAAAAGGGCCCTGGTTCCATCTCTCCCAAGTGTGGGTTGGCCTGGTCTCCTCCCAGACCCAGCTGGTGGTGTGAGGAGGATGAAAAGCACATGGGGAGAACAGAAGGGACAAGACCCTCTTCTAAACAGAAAATGACAGCAGTAAGAGGGGTGAATGGCCCTCTGCTCTGTGCCCCGGGATCCTGCCTGGACATTGCATCTCCCCACTTATGGTGCTCGTATTCTGGTGTTACAGCAGCCTCACCTTCCTTTGCCTGCTGCATGTCCTGTGATTCTGCTAGTACCTGACTAGAACAGACCTCAGGCAACCATGCTCGAGTTAGGAATTTGGAGAAGTTAACACTCAAAAGAACAGAAGCCGTAGCATTTCATCTTTAAATGCAGTGCCAAGAGAGGGGGCATTTCTCTAAGGCCAGCACTAACCCCATTCCCGCCAAGACACTCCTGGAGAGAGACTTCCAAGCTGAACCATAAAACACGAATGCACAACACACTGCTGGAAGACTCACCTCTCAAAACACTGCTTTTTCACAACATTATTAAAGGACAGGAGTTCCAGAAAAGATCCCAGTCTCATTCCCTGTGCAGTTAAGAGTGCCCCACATCCACATCCCTACCAAAACACAGCACCTATAGGCATCTGCAGTGGCCTAACCCTTCATCTCCATAATCACCAAAGGGATTCTTGGCCAGGAGAGAGAGAGAGAGAGAGAGAGAGAGAGAGAGAGAGAGAGAGAGAGAGAGAGAGAAGTTCCACTGGGGTTTGTCCAACAAGGGAATTTCCCCTGCTTTGCGCAAAGGACCAAATTTCTTTGGCCAAAGAAATCGCTTCTATGTTAGCTCCACACCTTGAAATAATATGTACCATGGTCCCCATCTACCTGCTTACATTTTTCCCTTAGAGATACTGTTTATTCTTTGAAAAGGAAGAAGCAAATGGCATTTGATTCTGCTCCAGTAGTGGAGAAACAGCCAACTCCACCTGCATCTCCTTCATAGCCAACAGCTCCTTTCAGGCTTGCAGCAGAAGGGAACGGCAGGGACAAGGAGCTCAGCTCAGAGCCAGTTACCAAGAGGACGTGGGGTTGTGACCCAGAACTGTGTGGCATGGGAGAGCATGTATATAAAATAGTCATGAAGACACTGACCTTGCACTTGTACATAACTATACAGTAGTGTCCAGAATGTTCAGACATTCAGGGTGTACATAAAACAGAAAAGTATCATAATGTATTTTTATTAACATCTGAGTTTCACCTAATCTGTTTCTGTGCCATATACTGGGTATCCAAGCTCTGAGACGTCAACTTACCAGGCCCTGACCCTTTGATAAGGCCACTCATTGTACCACCATGCTGGTATGTTCAGTAGCCTTGTGCCCATTAGGTAACTAAGTAGTGATTCAGCTCTCAGAATACCTAAGAAGAGCAAGCATGGTGACACACCGCTGTGATCCTAGCATTTAGAAGATAGAGGCAGGAAGAGCAAGAATTCAAAAATGAGGACTGGAGAGGTGGCTCAGTGGTTAAGAACACTGGCTGCTCTTGCAGAGGACACTGGTTCAGTTCCCAGCACCTACACAGTAGCTCACAACCCTCCGAAACTCCAATTCCAGATGATCTGTTGCCCTCCACTGGCCTCCTCGGGTATTGCATGCATGTGGTGCACAGCAAATATGCAGGCAAAACACCCAATACACATAAAACATAATGAAAATAAAGAATTCAAGAAGAGCCTGGGCTACATAGCAAGAGCCTGTCTCAAAACAAACAAACAAACAAACCTATGAAGAGCCAGGCAGTGAGTCTGTTTACATGGCAGTACACAAGAGAACTCAGGAAGCAAGAGTATCCATACTGTTGTGCATTTAATGCTCCTTGTGACTTCTGGCATCTCTGTGGGGTGACCAGTCTAGTCCTGAGGTATTCTGTTACTCTTTGAAGTCAAAGACTGTTACCTGTGAACATTAGACTTTGCAAAGGGGCTCTCTAGGCCACATTCTGTTGTAGCTTTGTCTAAAATTTTAATGACGTTTCTGAGAACCGTGTTCTTTTTATACTAAAAACTGGGGATGGGGGCTCATTTGTTAATAAATAGCGCCGTTTCCCTACACCTCAGCCTCCTGTCCCCCTCCTGGTCTTCCCTACACAGTCTGGAGAAGGGTCTGAAAGGTCAAAGGAGATGTGGCAAGAAAGCACCCCATTGGCTCCCGAGCTAGCCTGTAAGAAGACTGTCAGCAAAAGGAAAGTACCAGCATATCTGGAAGGCTTGAAGTGTAAGATGGGATCTCGTTAGGGAATTGGAGGAACAAGAACAGAACACCCTGAGTAGGCGATGCCACAGCCTGCCAGTACCCATCCTCCTTCAGCACAGTGGGGTGCGCAGGGTGAGGAGTGGCTGGCTTCCTTGGGGGATGGTGCTGTTTTTATGAACACTTTGATCCTTGGTGTCCTTTAATTGAACAAATATTTACTAAGCACTTGTAAGCTAAGCTAACATAAGAGCAGTGACTGGGGTAGAGATCCAGCTCTTTGGACACAGCCCTCACCCTAGGGGAGCTCCTGGGGTGAGCCATGGCTCCCTGACGAGTCTGAAGTGTTGACCCTGGTCACACAGCCCCCAGCACAGCTCTGGACCGAGATGTCAGCATGGCCTCTGACTGAGCAGAGCCTCTGGAGCAGGCGCCTGTCTGCAGGGAGCCCTCGGGGTGCCCTCCCAAGTGCAGAGAAACTGGCACCTTCTCTGCTGAAGGACCCGGACTCTGCACAAAACACTAGCAAAGCCTGCTGGGCCAGTTCGGCCTCTCGAAACGTTTCACGGTTATTTACAGTTCGCTGTTTGTCTTCATCCAGCTTAGTCTGTTCATATGTGTAATTAGCATCTGTTGCACTTGTGTAAATATGGAGTAAGTATTGTAAACTATTTAATTGCTGGGATTGTTGGTGTTATACCTACATTTAAGACTGCAATTTTTGGTATTTTTTGTATTGTAAAATAACAGCTAATTTAATCAGGAACGAGATTTAGGGGGGGTCTGCATTTTAAATGCAAATGTGAAGCACTTGTATATAAACAAAAGTAAATATGTAATACAAAATTCCTTCTGAAATAAAAGTAGATCTGGTAAAAATGTGGGCTTCCCTGAATATTTCATGATAATGCTGATTTTATTCTATATTTACATCTCATTCATTGTATTAGCAGTGAGGGGACAGAGACAACTACAGCTACCACCCTCAGCAGCCTGAGGGGTCCCCTAGATTAGGGAATGCAGCTCAAGATTATTGGCTTCGGTCCTGCAGAGAATTCCAGGACTGGACAGTCTATGAAGCTATGAAGCAACATTTAGTAAGGAATGTAACATTTGTGTCTATGTGTGTGGGTGAGGACACATATGCCACAGCATGCAAAGACAGCAGTTATGGAAATTGTCCTCCCTCTGGGGCCTGACAAGCAAACTGATGTCTTCAGCCTTGGTGGCAGGCACCTTTGCCTGATGAGGCATCTCACCAGCCCAGGGTATTCTTAGTGGGGGGAAGGGACGTGTGTGCCACAGCACACAGGGGCAGTCAGAGGACAACTCTTAGGAATCAGTTCTCCTACCTCGTAGGACCTAGAAATAAGCCTGAGGTCAGACTTAGCAGTGACTCTCTTATCCATTCAGACCTTAAGCCACTGAGCCATCTCATTGATCTGATGAGGATATTTTAATAATAGGCCAAATTAAGCACAGGGGTGCTGGGCATGGCGCACGCCTTTAATCCCAGCACTTGTGAGGCAGACGCAGTCAGATCTCTGTGAGATCCAAACCAGCCTGGTCAACATAGCAAGTTCCAGGACAGTTAACGTTATGTAGATGAGATCATGGCTCCCTGTCCCTACCCCACCCCCAAATAAGTACAGGGATTAAGAGAGGGATGCTTAGAAGGGAGTAAGGCAGGCTGGAGAGACTCCGTGTAGGCTTCTCAAAGAAAAGCTCTAGGAAGACGACATATGGGTGCAGACTTGTAAAGACAGGCGTAGCACACTGGGTTTTGTTGGTTGGTTTTGGTGGTGGTGGTGGTGGTGGGCTCCTCTGGCTTTTACAATACTCATGCAGAATTTTGATGAGGTTTGAAGTGTTACAACTTTCTAAGGGTGAGGAAACACAGATGAGGTCACCAGGTAGGTCCTGAGACCTGCCTGACAGGCACTGCAGTTGATAAGGTCCTCAGGATGCAGGGACCCATGTAGGTGGAGTTGTCTTTGGGCCACCAGCTCATAAAAAATGACACAGAGTCTTTTTATTAGTTATGAAAGCTCTGTCTATAGCTTAGGCTTGTCAACTAGCTTTTATAACTTAAATCAACCCATATCTCTTCATCCCTGTTCTTTTACATGGCTCGGTTACCTTTATTCTGTACTGCCCATCCTTCCTCTGCACCTGGCTCACAACCCTGCCTCTCTTCCCAGAGGTCCCTGCTAGCCCTCCTGCCTCGCTATTGGCCACTTAGCTTTTTATTAAACCAATCATAGTGACACCTTCACACAGTGTAAAGGAATATTCTACAACAGACCCAAAATCTTATCCATTCAGACCTTAAGCTTTTGTTATTTTAACATAAAAATATGTATGGGAGAAGAATATTGACTCTGTCAGTATGTTTTATAGCAAGTATTTATAACTGTCCTTGAATTCTGGTTTTTCAGCGGATGAGGGTTAGTCAGACTCCAGGGTCCCTTCCCTGCTATTTCCCCATAACTCCTGTCTCTGTTTTGCCTCATTCTCAGCCTGGTTATAGCCACCCAAAGGTCTGGTGGGTAGACTTCCTCCAGGCTTCAGCCCTAGTGCATGGATGCCATCCTCTGGCTACTGTCTTATGTTTAGTCTTATTTATTTTATTATTTTTTTGTGAGGCTACTTCCATTCACACATCCTTGTCTGAAGGCCTCCTGGGTGCCCAGCTTCACTGTATTCGGGTAAACGTCGTATATGTTAGTGCCCTAGCACACAGTACACACTGCCAGTGCTAGGAGTTGCAGCATGAGGTCATTGAAAATGGGAGGTCACAAGTGGGTGGGCACTCACAGGGAGGATAAAACCAGTCTTCAAAAGCCAGGGTGCTTGAGAAGTGGTGGGCACCTGGAGTGGGCATGTGGCAGCAACCGGCTTGAGAAAGAAGGACTTTGAAAGTTGGGAACCACCAGCAGGATAATCCCCTAGTGGACCAGCTACTTGGCAGACTGAGGCAGAGGAGTGTTGGTGGCTCAAGGCCAGCCTGGGCTACATGGTGAGACCCTGTCACGAAAGAACAAAACCTAGCAGAGACACTGCTGTTGGTTTACCCAGTTTTGCCCGTAGACTATTGTTCTACAGTACCCAGGCTCTGAAAACTAGGTTGGGGCCACACTGAGCTGTGGCTGATGAGACGCTGGGAAAGTGCTGACACCTAACTTATACACATTGAATGTTTTCATTTGGGACCTTTCCTGGAATTCGCGGGTTAAAGAGTTGGAAGGAACAGGGTTCTTGAGCCACCACTTGTTTACATGCAAACCACCTGGTCAGCAAGAGCTATTTTGGGTTTTGTTGCTAAATATTTCTTCCCAGGGAGAAATGTAAACAGCGCCTGTCCCTTCAAAGGTCCCAACAAACAAATGAGGAATGATTCCACCGAAGTTCACTAGGAAACCAATGAGTTTATCGGGCTTTCTTGCAAAACATAGATGAGGGGTACTTGCAGCAGTGTGGGGGTCCTCCCCTTAACAACCCATACCTGAAAAAGCCTTAGCCAGCAGGGGTGAGGGCTTCCCCATAGCCACATAGATGGAGCTTCCACTCTAGTTTTCCCAGACAGACAGACAGACAGACGGATTGATGTAGTGTGTGTGATAGCCCCTTCCACCAGGCCGCATGCAGTTAAGGCAGAGTTGCATACAACAGGTGGTAGGTGTCTCTGGATTTCTGTTGCTGTGAAGAAACACCATGGCCATAGCAACTCTTATGAAGCAAACCATTTAACTGAGGTAGCAGCTTACAGTTTCAGAAGTTTAGTCCATTATCATGGTGGGGAGCATGGCGGCTGGGAGTGGAGTGGTGTGCAAGCAGACAGGGTGCTGGAAAGGGTGCTGAGAATTCTTACATCTAGACAAGCAGGCCACAGGAAGTGATCGAAGACACTGGGTGTGGCTTGAGCATATATGACAGTTCAAAGGCCGCTTCCACAGTGACACACTTCCTCCATTAAGGCCACACCTACTCCAGCAAGGCCACACCCCCTAGTAGTGCCACACCCTTTGGGGACTTTTTTTTTTTTTTCAAACCACCACGGGAGGGAAACTCAGATGAGAATCTCAGGCCCTATTCCACCTGTCTATGCTGGGATATAAGTTGTCAACAAACCCAAAAGTGATAATCTTTTGTAAGGGGACACAGCTGAATGCCCCAGTAGGGTGGTTGGCTCAGAGGACACTGACTACAGCTTTGTATCAATGAAAGGCAAACTCTGACTGAAATGAGGGACTCCATTTTCCAGATCTGTACCTTGGAGAACCATGCAGATTCCGGCAGTGGGGAAAGGAAATGGCAACAGGCAGACAGCTGCGAGGCCCTGGCAGGTGGGAGGTTGTTAGGTTAACAACTTGGAAAGCAAACCAACAAATTTTAGCTAGAGAAGTAATTCTCAACCTGTGGGGGTCACATATCAGATATCTTGCATATCAGATATTAACATTACAATTCATAACAGTAGCAAAATTACAGTTACATAGTATTGCTGAAATAATTTTATGGTTGGGGTCATAACATGAGGAACTATATTATAGGGTCACAGCATTAGGAAGGTTGAGACTCACTGAGCTAGGGGGAGAAAAGTTGAAGATAACTATACTTGATTGATGTTTTTTTAAAATACCAATTTTTATTTTGTGTGAATGAGTATTTTGCTTGCATGTATGTCTGTGCACATGTGTGTATGAGTATCTTGCCCACATGTATGTCTGTGCACATGTGTGTATGGGTATTTTGCCCACATGTATGTCTGTGCACATGTGTGTATGAGTATCTTGCCCACATGTATGTCTGTGCACATGTGTGTATGGGTATTTTGCCCGCATGTATGTCTGTGCACATGTGTGCAGTGCCCACAGAGACCAGAGGGAGTAGTCTGATCCCCTGGAACTAATTACAGATGGTTGTTACTCACTGTTTAGGTGCTGGAAACTGAACCCAGGTCCTCTGGAAGAGCAGCCAGCATGCCTAACCACTGAACCAATCTCTCCAGCCCTGACAGGACCTCATGTAGTCCAGGTTGGCCTCAATTTTGCTTTGTAGCCAAGAAATAGCCTTGAACTTTGAACCTTCTGTCCCTGCTGTGCTGCCTTGAGTAAGCCAGGCATTGAGTTCTATGCCAGGTACAGTAGCTCATGCCTAGAACCCTAGGACTTCGTCTTTATACAGGTTTGCTTTTATTCATGTGTGTGTGTTTGCATGTATGTAGGAGCACCATGTGTGTGCAGTGCCTACAGAATCCAAAAGAGAGCACATGATACCCTGGGATGGTGATACCCTGGGATGGGAATTACAGTTATGAGGCACCATGCAAGTTTTGGGAACCGAACCCAGTTTCTCTGCAAGAGTAGTAGGTGTTTGACTGCTGAGCCATCTCTCTATCCCCAATCCCAGCATTTTGGAGACTGAGACAGGGAGATGATGCCAAGTTTGAGGTCATCTTGTGTTACGTAATGAGTTCAAGGCCAGTGTCAGCTACAGAGTGGGACCCTGTCTAGAAAAGGAAGTGGAGAGCTGGCTCAGCAGTGATGAGCACGTGCTGTTCTTGCAGAGGACAAAGGCCAGTTCACGGCACCCTTGCTGGGCAGCTCATACTGCCTTTATTCCAGCTCCAGGAGGATTCTAAGCCTCCTTCTGGCATCCAAGGGTGCCTGCACACATGTACACAGATATACAAATTCACACATAATCTTAAAAGAGAATATCTTTTTGGTTTCAGGGGGCTGGAGAGATGGCTCAGAGGTTAAGAGCGCTGACTGTTCTTCCAGAGGTCCTGAGTTCAATTCCCAGCAACCATATGGTAGCTCACAACCATCTATAATGAGATCTGGTGCCCTCTTCTGGCCTGCAACATACATGCA